TTCACGTTTCAATGACATAACGAAATATTGTCCAATAATTATATTCTACAGAAGGAAGTCATGTTGTGATATAGAGAAGCCGTTTTTCCGTCTGTCCGTTCGTGCGTGACTAATTCAAGACACCATGTAAATAAAGTATGAAGAGAAACAATTCAAGGTTTCTTTATATCTGACCAACTTATGATCGAAGCTTAATTTTAAATTATATGAACTGATAAAAAAAAAGTCAATGAAGAAACCAAATAGTGTGCCCTCGTGCAAGCGGATAGCACACTATCCACTGGGGGCTATCGTGATGCAACAACACCGTGTTGTTGCATCAAGATGGCCAGACTTCCGGTGATCGATTTTCGTACGATGTTTTGTTTTCCCAATTTACACCCATTTCTAGGACGAGTTGCTCAATAATCATACACATGCAGTTAGCACATGATCTATATTTTAAAAAACTGTCATTGGTATACATCTAGCATCATCAAGAAGCGATAAATTCGTGGTTTTAATTCCTCACTATTGATGCAACAACACCACTCTGTTTCTTATCGATGATGCAACAACACCAATGTGCTGATGCAAAAACGCCAATATAATGTATCATTGAACAACAAGAGAAACTGTTTTATATTCTGTTTACAGGTGTAGGTCGGGACATGAATAAAACGCGTGAGTCAGTGGTCCATGAACGAAACGTATTTTGTTTGGTCTCTTTGTCTATATCAAAGTTAAAAGGATATACAAGACAAACTAAATAAAGTACAGAATCCCCGGGAGGCAATCTCATTGATATTGTATCTGAAAAATAAAGATTATACATTTTCTAAATTAATTAAATGCCCTTGATTTACCGTATGGAAATTGCTTACAAATAACTAATATAATTTTGGAAAGACAACAGATATCAGTCATTTTGTGTTGTTAGTACCTCAATTGAAATACTCAATTCTGATTGGTTGATGAGCGGTCAACAAAATGTATTGTTAGTACCTCAACTGAAATACTCGATTCTGATTGGGTGATTAGCGGTCAAAATTATGTACTGTTGACCGCTACTAGGTACTGTTGACCGCTACTTCTGAAAAAAAGTTTCATGACGTCACAAAAAAACATGGAAGACGTTACTCACTTCGAGAGCCATGTTAGATTTTGAAACTTATGGCTCTCAAACGGAGAAGTGAACAGCTGATCAATAGTGACCTTTGAAATTGAATTAAGTCGATCCGCGGCTTACTTTTGGTCTCTAACTGTGTCTTACATCAGTATCATCAATCCATGTAAGTATTGGAGCGCTGGAGTACTTCTTTTTCGATCAAGACTTGTAAATTGTCCATCGAGTTAAAGTTTTACAGACCTATTTCCAATATGGCGGTTTGCTAGGTGCGAGATACGCAACGAACGAAATGAATTTTGAGAATTAGTTAGGTTCGGACAACCTCCGGAGATTTACGAAAATGTCCGAGCAGAAACCGCCATATTGGAATTTGGCAGTAAAAGGATTCACTCGACTAACGAATTACAAGTCTTGATCGAAAAAGAAGTACTCCAGCGCTCCAATACTTACACGGATTGATGATACTGATGTAAGACACAGTTAGAGACCAAAAGTAAGCCGCGGATCGACTTAATTCGATTTCAAAGGTCACGATCATTGAGCTGTCCAAGTGCTCCGTGGGAAAGCTATTAGCCTATATCAAAATCCAAATAGCTTTCGCAGGAAGTAAGGAAGACGGACATTTTGTAAACGTTAATGAAAATGACTTTACTAGGCGACAAGTATAGCAAAAATACAAGTAGAAACTTAAAATTAACATTAATTCACTAACGAGTACGCCGTGATGTGCCAAATACAGAGTTAAGCTACTTGCACTGTATCCAGATTTTCTAAAAAAAATATTGCAAACGTGGTTCGGAGAAAAGTTTGTTAAATGAAGCCATGCCGATTAATGATTGTCGTCTATATGTGTATTATTAGTTTACTCCGACTAACAAAACAATTGTAGACCTCTCCATTCGACCAACCGTCAAAATCATATACCTCGACTGTAAACCTCGAAACTACTGTTGACCCCGACCTTCGGTCTCTGTCAACAGTAGTTTTTCGGTTTACAGTCTCGGTATACAATTTTGCCGGTTGACCTCTGGGGAGGTCAACAATTGTAAACTGTTGACCACTACTAGGTACTGTTGACCCCTATTTTTGAAAAATTGTTTTTTAATGTTGAAATTTTTTTAATTTTGAAAAAATAAGTTGTGTAAAAAATTACAAGTATTCGACGGTTTGGGGATTTTTTGCTAAAATATGATACCTTTACTTATCAAATATGTTCACGTGATATTCAATTATATATTCGTCCAATTATTATATTATTTGGACTAACAGAACAATTGTTAACCTCTCTTTTCGGTCAACTGGCAAAAGTGTATACCTCAACAGTAAACCCTGAGAGTACTGTTGACCTCGACCTCCGAACTTTCAAGGATTACAGTATCGGTATACAATTTTGCCAGTTGACCTCAAGAGAGGTCTACAATTGTATATTGTATATCCTTTGTTATCCCACCCAAAGTATGATGTCATATATCAAGTTGAAGAGTTGTATACGCTGCTCAGGAGTTTACGCTATCCAGGAGTTGTACATAGTTCTCAAGAATTGTATAGGATGAGTGTTGGTTTAATGATATTGCAGTTATACAATGCTATTATATAAAGGTTATTTACTGAGAGGGATTCAATATTGGTTTTATTCCGAGAGACAATATGATATTTCCCGAGGGCCCGGGATATCTGGAATAACTGTACCCCTATCAATTTACCTTTTTGGCCCCTTAATCTTATCACTTTTGTTTACCTTTTTACACAGTCGGAGAAAAGGAATCCAAAGAGATCAATAATTCTACATGTGCGTCGTGCAAGATTTCCATTAAACGTGTAACTAAACGGCCTCTCTAATAAAGTCAATTAGACGTTTTTACACGTTGGCTCTCCAAATTGGAGGAAATACAGAATCATATCATATTATATCATAGATGAAGCAATCATCCCATCAACATAAGCTCACGAATGTCACAGTTAAACTGTTTTAGTTATAATTTGATAAACAGTGGTAACGTACATCTACTAGTTTATCACTGTTCCACAGATGGATGACAGATAATTTCCAATAGCTCATCATGTTTATCGAGAACGAAAGATGTTTGGCCACCATTTTGAATGATACTAACTGGAGTCAGGGTCATCAAGCTATGGAACAGTGGTTTATGAAAATAGATTGGGTTACTAAAGCTTGCCATGTTAAAGTCGATTGAACTATGTTATAGAACAACGTCCAGTACATTATAATATTTAAAAGTATAAATTTTTGAAAAAACATATAAAGGATCTTCGCCCGCATAACGTGTATTTTGAAAGCCTTGAGAAGAACGCAAATATGGGTAATGGGTAACGGTGTTGCAATAGTAGCATTTAAAAATCTGTTCCTCTCGAGATTTATGGTCTTCTGAAATTATACTATTAATTGGTGTTGCTGCATCATTGCTCAAATCTAGAGGAGTGTTGTTGCATCTTCGGTTTGGTGTTGTTGCATCAATAGTGAGGAACTAAAACCGTGAAGTTATTGCTTCTTGGTGATGGTACATGTATACTAATGACAGTTTCTTTAAATATAGATCGTGCGCTAACTGCACGTGTATGGTTATTGAGCAACTCGTCCTAGAAATGGGTTTAATTGGGGAAACAAAATATCGTACGAAAATCTATCACCGGAAGTCTTGCCATCTTGATGCAACAACACGGTGTTGTTGCATCACGATACTCCCCAGTGACTATCGTTATTCCTGAATGTGCAATTGTACATCGAACCTTCGCTATTATGGCATATTTGGACTCTTCAGAATATGCTTTCGGTTTTTGAATCTGACCTCTAGGTGACCATGAAAAGGTCAGAGAAATCAAAAGGTCAAATTGATTCCGTGTTGGTATTATTGTATTAAACAAGAGGGTGGAAAACGACCTGTGTACACAAAAAATAATAAAAATGCTGGTAACAAAGTAACTGAATTCCAGTCTTGCGTAAGATATATATTCGCTAACATATTCATTATTTACATTTACGTGTGTTTTTTCTCGCTTGCTATTTATCAACTTAATATCGTTAATATATATCTACTTCTACAATGTGAGTTCATATCTCCATTTACATCAGATATTACTCATTGATTTAGCAAACTACAGTTTTCACTAGTTCCGTAAAGGAGACTATTTAGTCGATTTTTTTCGCTTTAGCGAAATACCTCATCTTTTATGTTTTTAAATATGGCATTGATTTACTTCTTCTGGAATTTTGATGACAAGAGCGTCCATCCGAATGCAAATATGCACGTCCATTAGAACAATTTGCACTCCCATCAGCACAATTTGCACGCCCATCAGCACAATATCCACGTCAATCAGCATTATTTGCTTCTTCTGGAATATTGATGACAAGATGTTTCTGGTACCCACCTGCTTGCAAATATGCACGTCCATCAGCACAATTTGCACGCCCATCAGCACAATTTACACCCCCATCAGCACAATTTGCACGCCCATCAGAACAAGGCAATGACAATACAGCATTTTTGAAAAAAAGGAAAAAGTGGCAGGTTTATATACAGGGTGTCCATGAAAAAAGTATACACATGTTGACGGTTGACACACGTGGTTAGCCGAAATGATTGACACATCACTTAACGGTATAAGCTTAGATGAACTGTTTTTTAAAACAGGTGACCATGTAAGTAGCACATTTGGGTCTTATTGTTCTTTTTCGTAATACCTAGAGGAAATCTCATTCAATATTACGCAATTCACTAGCAACGCGGGCAGTTCAAAAACGCGGTCTATATTTCAAAAATATTGTTCAGGATTCTAGTTATCTGCATTTGAAGCTTTTTTTAATTGACACCCTGTAGAGCACCTGAATTGAATACAATAGATGAAAACACAATTCACTCAAGGGAAATACAAATAGACGTGTTGGGAAATTAAAATCTCTCTCAATCTGCAAGTCAACTATAACACCAAGACAAGAGAGAACAAAACCATGATGTACATTTTGCTGAATTTGGCTGTCAGCATGATGATGTTCTCTTACATCAATGCACAATGCTATGAAGGTATTTAAAGACTCATCAAAGAAAACATTTATTACTTCTTGCTGAACTTCATGAGATATATTTTTGAAAATTCTAATTTTCTTTTTTGTTCATTGATAGACATCAAGAATTCCATTATGATAATAAACGTAAATGCTGCAAAACATTCTATGACATATTTCTATATAACCCATTAATTTTATTATACAAATTTACTGTTATTCTTATCTTTACTACAAGTATCTCGATTTAAGAGGACTACACTTTAACGTTTTTTGCACAGTTATTCTGCTTGTAATTTATCATTAAATTGTATTGCAAGTTGTTAAATTTCCAAAAAAATTTCAAAAGAGAGATATGTAGGTGTTCAACACCCCTCTTACACATGACATGAATCAAAACAAAATCCTTTTGATTGTGGACTTCTAACTGTAAAGATTCTAGGAAAAATGTAAAATAATTTTGATTCAGTAGTGCACTTCATAATTGATATAATCACGGTGTTATAGCATGACGGTTACGACACCTCTGAAAACGAGATTAGACGACTACGATCACTGATTTATCCAATAAAATGACCGCGATGGAACAGAAAACTAAGGTTGGTGCATTTCTTTCTTCTACCGTGTATCAATGAGAGGATGAACGATTTTTGTAGATATCGCATTCGGTGATGCATTTAGTAATGTATATTTTGAACGTATTCTTTGCAAATTGATGCCCAGGGATATCATGAAATAAGCGAAAAACTGCTGAGTTTGAAATTCAAAACTACACAAAATTTAGTAATTTGTTTATTTTTGTCGTTAGGGCATGGTCTACATTGTCTATCGACCTCGGGGTATACAGATGTAACCTACATACGATCATAAAAAGCCAAATGAGCATTGGAAACCACTTAATATGTTCTACTTAAGCCATAATATTGTATTTTTAATTTGCGGTTACGCCAAAAATTGATTGACGGTTACACGAACCTCGTCCAAATATGTATCCAAGATTCATTGTTATTAATTTTGTCATATTCATCAGTACTTGATGCTAATTCTTCTTTTGCCTCTTCATTGCTATCTTTTTGACTTAAATTGGTTTCATTTATAAAGCAAGACACATTTTTTTCCTTGCCCTATAGAGGCTCAAACAAGAGCGTCTCTTGCGAGTCCTGAAAACAAATATAAGCAATTCGATCAATATTCCATTTCTTACCCATTATAACAATTACATGGAAAGAGGCTATCAGAACTAGTAACCTTAACTTGAAAGATGTACATGCACGTAACCGTCCGCTAAATATCTAATTTACATCTAATACAATACGTTACCGTCCATAGAATTCATACGTAGTCGTCTAACGACATTACGTTTGAAACCTTACTATTTACAATATGACCATGTTCCTGTTCTGGATCTGTCATTTTATGGCTTGTTTATACACAGTTTACTTACTGTTAATAGTTTGAGTGGCTCTGAGGCACATATTATACTGAGAAATCACGAGAATGGACTAAAAAATATGAACTTGGACATCTCAGTCGGTAAGTTTACAGCTTATATTCCGCTTCTAGTAAACCACATGGCAGATTTGACCCAGTCTTTAGAACCATCCATATATACGTCATCGAATGGAACTAGTTAAAAAGGAAATCTTATCTGTGAATCTTGCCTACAGGCGAGAAAGAGGACATGTTGTCTTTCCCATTCGCCATTTTTTGTTATCGTTACCGCAAAAATTTGCAAATCGCCTTGTCGTAACCGTCATGCTATAACACCGTGATCATGAAAAGTGAAGGATACACCCCCTGTATATCTGGTTCTACTTTTAATACAAATTCAACCATTTATTCGAAAGTGCTGGCTCAAAATAATTTTTTTTACCATAAAGGACAGTCACTCTTGACTCCCCATGTGTCTCTAATGTTTACTATATTATCACTGACAAATAGCAGACAGAAAGAAGGAAGGTAGGTGATTCCGATAACTCCACATGTTCTGTGTGTATTTATTGAACCACAGTCTTAAACAAATTAATGCATTAGACGAGTGTATCGGTGAATTGTTGGTTTCTGGACCGAAGTACAGGGTTCCAGACTCCGCTTTCAATGCATCAAGTGTATGGGACGATCTGTACCTGCCATTTAGAGCAAGACTTGGCACAAAGGATGATAGGTTAGAACATTTTACTCAGGCCCGTAGCCAGGGGGGGTTCGGGGGGTTCGGACGAACCCCCCCCCCCCCCCTGGCCAAAATTTCTTTCAAAATCATGCAGTTTTTCACCATTCTGACTAATTTTTGAGTGATTTTTGGCCATATTTTCCAAAGTGAACCCCCCCTAGAATTCTTTAGAAAAACGAACCCCCCCTTGGAAAATTCTGGCTACGGGCCTATAACTTTTGTACCGTTCTTTGTCATTAATTTGTCATTTGACTAAAACACCGTGTGATACATAAGCCATGACTGTATATAATTATTGTGAATTGTAGTCCTTATGGTCAAGGAGGGAGCTGGGTAGCTAATAGTGAACAAGAAAATACTGAACAGTGGATTCAGGTAGACCTTGGCACAGTGAAGAGAGTCAGCGGTGTTATAACACAAGGGAGACATGTTCTTCATTCAAACGACGAGCAGTGGGTGATGACAGAATACAGAATACTCTATAAAAGGAAACGACAGGAAACATTCAGAACTGTACGAAAGAACAGAAGCGAGGTAATATATTCAAGGCATATAATTTAGCAAAGAAAATCTGTTATGAGGAATTTGATAATACATGTATACCAGGACCAAGGTCGTTGAATAAGTTCGCGGGAAAATGCTGCTATATGCAACAGATAATGTAGTCATTCTATACAGTCCTTTACTACAAGGTCACACATATTTTGAGGAAAAATACGTGAAGTATATGGCAAATATCATTTTTAACAAAAGCTAGCCAAATCCTGTTTAGAAAGTGTTCGTCACTAAACATCAGTTTAGCTGATATACTGATGACGATACAAAACTTATTTTATTTCAGAAGTTTCAAGGAAACTATGATGCAGTCACCCCCGTGCTCAACATGTTTAAAAGTGTAAGAGCCAGATTTATACGTATCAACCCAACAGCTTGGAAAGGCCATATCTCATTGAGATTTGATGTCATTGGTTGTAAATATTATAGGCCTCAACCATGATATGCTAAAAAAGATGAAATGTTGTTGTCTTGTACTCCGCCACAAAAAAATGAATAAAATGTACTGTACTGACTTCCCTAAATATGTTTCGTTATCACTGTAATATGGGCTTTTGTCTCTAAAATGGGGCGACACGAGGTTGCTATCAAAAGATTTTTTTTACATAACTGCATTTTATGTAATACTATGATATCAATTGATTTTGATAAAAATTAAATACTTTTGATTAACAAGAGAATTGGAAATGTCAAAAAGATGGTCCAAATAAGATGCAATGCTGTAATACTAAAACATTACAAGGCAACCAGCGGATCGAATTTATATTGGTAAAAAGGCTGAATCGATTGCCAGAATAAAAGAAAATAACCATAGATTTTTGAGGTCTTTTATTGATTATAAATGGCTCTAAGCTAAGGTTAATAGGCGGTAATTTTCAAAGCATTTTTATCCTCTTCACATCTTTTCACATCAACTATTTCCTGCAATCAAAGCAAAATAACGTTTTAACATGTTTAATAGTGATATCAGTTGTAATTCATTATCTAAGTAAAATTAGAAAAGAGAAAATACACGTGCGTATAATGCGCATCAAAATTGCGAACTGACAGCCATTTTAGATTAAATGTTGGCAAGCACTAACCCATAAAGTCCATGTTCAAATATAGCAGAACAATTGAATTCCTCTCTCCAGCATTTAGACTTGGCAAATACATTTGTTTCGAGTATATGACACTGATGCTCAACAGACTCCGCATAATACGTGTCAGCAACACACGACTCCCATTTGTGATGCCCGACCTCCCCGAGACAATCCGCGATCTGGCAGTACAGTTTAGTCAGCATCAGCTTGTTTATATCTCTGCGTTTTTTATGCCAACCATGCAAGTCCCTCCAAGGTCGGTCTATGTTAAATGAATCATCCATTACGGTGGATTTACATTCATGAGACGTTTTCCAACTATTTCCAATTAAAACGCCGTGGTTTTTCTCGTTGCCTCTATAGACATAGAAAGCGTCGCTCCTTGTTCGAATATCATTCTCTGGATTCCCATCGTAGTTACCACAAACACCTAAAAATGTGTTAATTTCAATCAATCTGAGTTATTTTTTTTTCGTCAGTATTACTTTAGAAAATTATATGTAGCCGATTCGGTCGTACCTACCATCAACATTCAATTTCCAATAGTCCGCTAATCTTACATAAGTGCGTCCGTTCGCAGGATTACCGTCATACTGCACGATAACGCCAACATCTTCTTCCATGTTAACTTCGACGAAATCAGTACTGTCTCGTGTGATTATGCTGATTATGTGATGTATCGCATATGGCTGACCCCCAATCGTGTAGATCACAACTAATGTCTTTGGAAATTTTGAAACTCGCACGCCATCGATCTAGTTAGAAAATTTTAGAATCAAATGGGTTCATCAGTAAGTGATGAACCATGAATATAATATTCTCTATCTAATAATCTCAGAAATACCAAGGAATGGTCTCGAGAGACTGGACGAAAGTCATTAGTTATGCATACAACTCAGGAAGTGCAATAACACCTACATTTAGAAAAGATTTAAACAGCTTTAATGGTGATTTTTTGACAAAATCAAATTTTGCTATGGAAACTCGGACAACATAAAAAATAAGTACGTCGATAATTTCTAACTGGTTAATAAAATATGTTTCCAACCATCTCTAAAAAGGGGTTGTTTGATATGTAGTACTCATTAAAAAATAACACGTTTTATAATGACCATGTGTATCCTCCAACACATGTTCAACATATTGAATATACTAAAAAATTCGATAAAATTGAGATTTTATATAATAATCATTTAAATACTAAATTTTAATTAGTCTCATTTCTGAAAAACATGTTTGAACTCATTTGTGTGCATTGATGAAATATTAATGTTTGGAGGATACAAAATATCGGACAGCAAAACCTAAATCCACCACAAAAATAACAATATCTCGTCTGATGTTTTCATTGTCTGTCATTTAAAAGGTAACCCTTAAGGGCACTTTCTGGCGAAATCTTAAACAAATGATGCTACGGCAAAGTTGATTTAAACAGTGTGTTGGAGGATACAAAATATTAGACAAATGGTATATGCATAGGAAAAGTATTTCATTGTATGGGTTTAACATCGCATTTTTAAGAGCTGATGTCAAACATACTTTTATGTAGTATCAACGCAATCGATGCTCTGTACACTGTATGTGCTGTAATCTGGTTTTGTATCACCACAAACAAAACAAAACTTTGTTTTTTGACAAAAAATCATCATTTATGCTGTTTTTGAGAAATAATAAGCAATATTTTCAGTGGACATCGCATGATTATGATAACCAGTTGTGATGACTTTAGAATAGAACTCATCAATTGTCCCTGGTATCAATACGCACGACGTAGGCTTTAGTAGAACACCTGATTTTGGAGATATCAGTAATCGTAATTTGCCTGGCTACAGTTTGTACTTACCTTTACACGGTGCCCGGCGCCATCTTTATGAAATATTTCGATTAAAGTGTCTTTCGTGTCGTCTCTTGTTATAACGGAAATACGTTTAGTGTAAGAAACATGAGCACCAGGACTTTTAAAATATGGTAATAATTTAACTTCAAAATGCGGCACAGCTCCGAAACCATTCACCAGTCTAAGTTCGCACTGATTCTGAATTTCAAATTTGGCTCCGTCGAACGTAGTAAAATGCACGTCTCCCCAGGCTGTACATTCTACCATTTCACTTCCTTAATCAATTAATATTATGTTATGTTAAGATTATACTTACTGGATCTGTAAACAAACATGTCTATGTTACTTTTGATTTAAGCATGTGATTTCATTTTGGGACTGTTACATATTTAAATTATCATGATATTATCATGCTTGCTTTAAATATGAAAACTGTTTATCTATCGTTGGCAACAAACCAAAGCAACACAATGTCAAATAATTGCATACGAGGGTTACAATACATTGACGCTGATATTTCAAAATGTAGCCCGACTCAATTTTGTTTATACAATGGTACATCATTATGCATAAATCATAATATTTAGATTTTCGTTTCGCATTTCTATAAATTCTTACTTTCGTACTTGGAGTAACAAAGTTCACCGTGATACATTGGGTTACATTTGCAAAAGTACCTCCCCGATGGTAATTTAGCACACGACCCATGTTCACCACAATCTGGGCATCCTGGTGGAAGGAGGGGTGGTGGACAGCTCAGTCCACATATTGATCCCCGTTCATCTAAAAAAAGTGTACTTGTCGTTTTATTAAGTAAGGATCGTCTCTGTCTCCGCCCCATAATTATCCGAAATTTCAAAAATTTAAAATAATAGCCTGCACTTTAGCCATCGATGGAATTTGAACGAACCGATTGTTTTCTATAGTTAGGCCTTCGACACGACAAGTACTTGCCCGATGTAAAGATGCATGACACGTTCCGGATGAAAAGGGTACATAAAAGAAGTATGCCAAAAACATGGGTAGTGATTCGATCATTTACCTCTTATACTTCTCGCACTACGTCTTACAGCGGATCTGCATGCCTTTTTGATCTTCTTGAATCCTTTGTTTATTTGGCCATAAGCTTTCCAACCCGTTCTCCCAGATTGCGTCAGTGGTAAAATGCTTCTGCTGAGTTGACTAAGTATCGACCTCTCGTCGGAATTGGATAGTCTCGTTGCATTTTTCACCATTTTTGAAAGTTGTAAGCCAGATTTAAGAACACTTTTCAAAGCATATGATGAAATATCTTCAAATCTTAACTTCTCAGATCCGTGTGTATAAAATGGAAGTGAAGAATTCATGAAATCGAGACCTTTATTTCTAACAGCGTTATTGAATGTGACTTTAGTCAATGCGTCTACCATTTTAGGACGTGCGTTGTGAAACTTAACCAAGGAATCCGCCAGTGCCTTCACATTGGCGACAACATAATTTTCAAATACGCTCACATACGTCTTCATGATGGGATGCGCCGTATAATTTTGCATTAAAGCAGAAACAGTCGTAACATCGAAACTCAAGTCAGCAATGGAAAGAGTTCTGTATTTCTTTGCCAACTGTTCAAGTTTATCGAAGCATGTACATTGGTTTAACACTTGAGGCAGTTGTCTCACTACTCTGGTTAAGTCTTCCTCGCCGAAAACAACCGAACATGTGAGGGAAAACAAAGACAAAATGACCAAATGCTTCATCCTAAAACATAGATTATGCCATATGATGCTTGCTATTTAAGAAATGTTTAACGTAGCAACCCGCGAGGAACTTACTTGCTTCGCCACTTGATCAGCTTCTTGTCGAGCTCCAGCTGATAACAATGTAAATGTAAGACCTGATGTCCCTGCACTTATTCGAATTTAGAAATGCACTGCATCATGTACGTTCCCTTTGAACGCTGTCGTAGAAGCTAATACGTGCGAATATACATAGTGTAACATTAATTCAGTTCATTCAAAAAGTTCTGCGCAAATATGTCTAACTATGATAATAATTAACTGGTTCAAATTTGGTCCCGAACCCGTATAACGACAGCTGTGGAGGTTTCAATGAATGTAAGTCTGTTACCTAATATTTTACGGTCACAATAGTCACCTAGATAATGACTATGGTTTCACATCATGAATGTAAAAAAAGGCGATTGTAACCCCCCTATCACACCAAACTAGTTCTTACCCGTTCTTGCCAGTCCTACGAAAACGTCGTCAAACGGGCTCAATCTGGCTGTGGTCGGGAAATATGTCTGAAATAATTAGCTTCTTCGTTCTTAAACAGTCTTCAATACGTCCATCTCGTTCGCAGTTCGTTCAGGTCGCACCACGTCGGAGTGCAACGTCGTAGAACGCGTCCCTTAGTCTAGAAGGTCAACATGACCTGATTACAGAACGGTATGGTCGTCATCGAATTTTGAATCGATTCAAAATTCTAAAATCACATTCCCGTCTGAGAACGTTCATAAAGTTCGTAAATAGACCTTAGAAAGTTGCAGCTACGTTCATTCCGTTTGCACACAGTTTAAAACCAGTTTTGAAGAACGCAGTGGCAACTTGTTTGGTGTGATAGCTATATTTTTGCTAACTCGTTCATAAGCAGTGTTAAATACGTTCTTAATCAGTTTAAACCCGTTTGCAATTAATTCTACCTCGTTCTCAACACGTTCGCAGACAATTCAACTCGTTGTTAAAACGTCCCTAGTAGGATTGAAGTACGACGGTTCCGTTCGTAGTACGTCCAGCTCGTCGTTAGTACGTTGTCACTCGTTCTAATTGTAGAACGTGACGACCACGAGAACATTTTGAGCATTGTCTAAGTTCTAGAGGACCTGCCCGTTCGAGTACGTTCGATGAAGTTTGTAAATAGATCCCAAACGATTCTTAGTAGGTCCAATCCGTTCGTATACAGCTGAAGCCCGTTTTCGAGAACGCAGTGAGAACTAGTTTGGTGTGATAGTAGGGTAAGTAACATATCGAGTTCGGTAATTTCAATTATTGCCAGTTTTTCCTACATCAACTGTATTCTTTAAGTCAAACATGACAACACTGCCTTAACGTACAAAGTTTCCCCTCTTGTAATCTTCTGTACAATATGGCCTTAAACATACTCTGTATTATATTCAGACATTTCCTGAGGTTTCCAATTGAAAGGTATCCAATTAATTAATGAAATCATCGGAGGATGTGTTTCCAAACAGTACTTTATCAAAAAAGAAGCAGAAAACATTTGTTGAACGCATGGCAAAAATTGGGCTAATTTTGGCCTTTAACTAAAAACTTGACAATTTTCCGAGTATCCCAGTCACAAATAAAATACAAGACTTGGTGATTTCGGGCCATATCTAAATGAATTCAATGTAAAGCTTGATGACGTCGATTGAATTGTGGACCATTTGGTTTATAAAATCAAATGAAATCTCAAATAGTACATCGGGTTTCTAAACTGTACTTTATCAAAACAAGAAGCAGAAAACATTTGTTAAACGCATGGCAAAAAATTGGGCTAATTTTGGCCTTTAACTAAAAACATGACAATTTTCCGAGTATCCCAGTCACAAATAAAATACAAGAGACTTGGTGATTTCGAGCCATATCGAAATGAATTCAATCTAAAGCTTGATGACGTCGATTGAATTGTGGACCATTTGGTTTATAATATGAAATGAAATCTCAAATAGTACATCGGGTTTCCAAACAGTACTTTATCAAATCAAGAAGCAGAAAGCATTTGTTGAACGCATGGCAAAAATTGGGCACATTTTGGCCTTTAACTAAAACCTTGACAATTTTCCGAGTATCCCAGTCACAAATAAAATACAAGAGACTTGGTGATTTCGAGCCATATCGAAATGAATTCAATCTAAAGCTTGATGACGTCAAGTACAAATAGTGCATTGGGTTTATGGTCCTGAAATCGTAAATAAAGGAAGAGTGAATTTGTATCCGTCCGTATCAAATTATGTAAAAATAAAAGAGTCTCTTCTCATTAAACGTTTTTTGTGCAAAACCTTTTGAACAACCCTAATATTATTTACTTGAACTTGAAGTTCCAGCTACACTGCACAGTATTTGATTTAATGCTTAAATCCCATTAAAGTTTCAAACCCACGTGGAACACGTATACACTATCATACATTGAATGAGCACTAAAAAATCCAATTGAATAATATTGTTCCTAATCATTGTTAGAATTTTCAACATCATAAAAGTTGTATAAAAATTTTAATAAAATACCACCTGGACAATAAAATTCATGTATGTATAATATTTTTACAAACCACTGCAAACTATATCAATGAACAAACTTTAATCAAAATCAAGCGTCGAAAAGAAATTGATGAAACGATGTTTAATGCCCACAAATTAGATGCACAACGCACCCTATGCCACCATGAACGCTTGAGAGTTAAAGATGTGAATGTGTTCATTGCATCAGAACAGACCACGAAAGGTACATATGTAAAGCTAATCTGAAAAAATCCGTTTTATCACTCTAAAATGCCATAAATGATATTTAGTTTTTTGTTGGAGCTATTAACGATAAAACATTGTGTTAACAATTAAAGTTAATGTTTGTATCAAATATTACTTGACAAAATTACATTTACGATTAAAGCTCAATGGTTTAGGATGATGATATTGAAAGGATGTACTGTAACTGACAACTACTTACTAGATCTGATAGACCACGCAGTTCCTTATAACAGATTATTCATTGAAAAATTGGAAATGTATCTGCAACAAGCAAAACCTTTTTTTCATTGTGTTTTAATACGATCAGATGTAAAGTAATATTGAATCAATATACTTTTGTTAAAAATCGGTTATTGGGTAAAACCAAACATTATCATTCATGATGGGGTATATTTAAATACATATTTTATGAGATTTGCGATATATACAAATATGTACAAATCCCAACAATAAACTATATCAAACAAAGAATATGATTATTATGAGCTTTATTTATAAAATATTCATATTTACAAATAGGAAGTTACTGCATTGAAAATACGAAATCTCTGAAAACAACAAACGTGCGTGATCTCGAATTGGACAACATCAAAATAGTACTGAACAATACAATACACAAATATAAAGAAAAATGAACAATCCAAGGATTTCTTTCATACCTTCTTTTTGAAGAATATACACGTAAAATCCGTTGACTAATGTGCAAAAACAGTAACATTAAGAAAAAACATTGACTTGTATTTCAAAATAGCCTATATTTACATTTTTCCTTTATGGCTTCACTGTCGCCATGGAGTCCGAACCCATCGGTGGATACATTTTAGTGTCTACAGCACATTTATTGTGAAATCGTGTCTCAAACATTTGGCACAAGATTCTACCTACAATCCACTTCTTATGTATTAAAACCACCATTGAAACTTGTCAATAAAACACACTTTTAAAATAATGATATTTTTGTTATAGTTAAGGAAGCGGACGCCCAATAAAGGAAATATAGGTCGATTACTTGTAGAATAGTACGAAATAGATGAGACCGCGCCTAATAGTTATTAATCTCCGCTTTACACCTTCATTCCTGGGTTTGATCTACCCTGCATCTCGAGAGCATCATTTTCTTCTTGTTTAGATTTCTTGATACGATGGATGAGGAAACTTGTGAATGCAATTCCAAATAACTGGAAGTTAAAAGAAAACAGTGGATAAAATTATTAAAAGGACGTGTATGTTAGTGTCAAACTGTTACATTTTGTCTACAGCAACCGTACGGCTGTACGGCAGCCGTAGCCTCCCAAAATTGAGAGAAATATTCAGCATAAAAAATATCGATTTTGTGAAGCTACGGCTGCCGTACGCCTGCCGTACAGCTAATGTGAATGGGGCTTCAGCCTTCTTGGATTGATAATGAACTTGCAGTGTGCATTTCATTAATATTTACATTACACAAATGCCAATATATAATTATAACAAAAAAGATAATGATCAAATAATAATTTACTAAGTTAACAAGAATCATAACATATCTTATATAATGTAGTATTAGATCATACATGATGTTTTTTATAATATCCGTAATGTTTACCTGAATTGCAGCGACTGCTCCGAGACCTGCGATGATGTACACTCCGTATTTCTTGATGAATTCAAGCAACTTATCGTAACATCCCTAAAATGATGGAAACATTATATCTATCAATACGTGTAATCAAGCTAAATAGCGATGAAAGTCAATCCACACATATTCATGTACATGTAATCTTGAATAAATAACACCAATAATACCATTACAATATTGTTTATGATTGATGTGATATTTCCTCTTATTTTTGTCATTTTAGGAATTTAATTACTCCCTGATATTTGGCACATTTGTTCCGAAGAGCATCGGACTGTCACAATATTACAGCAATTTAAACAACATGCATGCTCCAATGGGCACTATCGGGCTATGAGCAAACATACACACGTCGTCCAAAATGTCCCTTCCTGACTTCTACCTGTGGGGATACGCCAAAGATATGGTGTAAATTCTGTGTCAAAAGTTTACAGACATAATTTCGCAATTTAGGTGCACGAAAATGTACGATTTCGTGTGCTCTTTATTCCAGACGCTCTAAAAGCGAACGCTCTCCATTCCTGACGCTAATGTTCTATTCCAGACGCTATTTACCTATTCCCGACGCTATCTATTCTGGACGCTCTGAAACCGAACGCTATCTATTCAGGACGCTCCATTCTGGACGCTCACTATTAAACCGGACGCTATCGATTCCAGACGCTCTATTCCAGACGCTCCATTCTGGACGCTCTATTCTGGACGCTATTTAACCGGTCGCTTTCAGCAATCAGGACGCTCTATTCTGGACGCTATTTAACCGATCGGTTTCTGCAATCAGGACGCTCTATTCTGAACGCTACTATTTAACCCGACGCTTGTATTCAAGACGCTCCATTCTGGACGCTCGATGACATTAACCAAAAGCTCTCCACTCTTATTCTGATTGATATATTATGAACGTATTGCATTAACCCCGACCTCAACATATCACATCAAGGGCAATACAATATTAAACACGCGCTTCTATCATATCGTAGTAAAGTTTCGAACATTTTCAAAAGATGGGGCGTATATTAGCACTTTTGATATTAAGTTTACGAATTTAATTTATAGATCATGAACGTAAATTGCATTAACACTGTCTACAACATCTCACATCAAGAGCAATGAAGTATTTAACGAGCACATCTTACATATCATATCATTTGTTGCGGTAGACCTTCGGATTTGTTTTGTTTAGTAACATTACATAATTGGATTAGCTCAATATATGTAAGCTAGGGGTGGTAGCATATATTTTAAAATGGCTATGGCAATCATTGGTAAAAAATCTTAGGAAATATATGCCATTTTCCTGGGGCTAGTTTACCCACAAACGATTTATTTTGAGCAATTTAAATGCATACTCATTACAACTATTCGACAGATATGCTACTTTGAAATTAAGAACATAAATAAACATACTTTTGCTTTTTTAGTCATTTATTCATGGAACAAATCTCACGTTACTGCCAACTCGAAAAGCTAGTTTCGCATTCGTCAGGTCTAAGGTGGATAAATGGGTTTTTGGTGGTTCAGGTGATTTGTTTAATGTTTCAGCTTTCCTGGTAGGTATATGTATTATGTTGGTAGTATATCTTGTTGTTGAGATATTAACTTAAATGTTCCGTTTAGTGGTCCGTATTTCAAATATTTCGATTTTATTGTATTTGGTTTTTATCAAATGGGTGTATTGGTTAATTGTATTGGGGTATGGACAGTTCGGTGTTGGTTCGGTTGTTTTGTTCATTGCGCTTCATTGTCATGTGTATTTTGTGTTGATATCGTGTGTGTTCGAAGAGGCATTAACTTGTTCGTGTATGGTTGTATTTTTTATTTTTCCGCATTTTGCAATATTTTCGATTTGTTAAGTTGGTGTGAGTTTGACTGTGTCTCGGGTAGGTCTATTGTGTGTAAATTACATTTTGGTGGTTCAGGAAATCTGCTTGATGTTTTAGCTTTCAGTTGGTATATGTATTATGTTGTTAGCATATCTTGTTGTTGAGATATTAACTTGAGTGTGGGGTATGATGGTCCGCTTTTCAAATATTTCGATTTTCTATATTCGGTTTTTATCGAATGGGTGTAATGCGTATTGGTTAATTGCATCAGGGTATGGTCAGTTCAATGTTGAGATTTAATTTGTTTGTTTTGTTCATTGTTTTAGCTTCATGGTCAGGTATATTTTATGTTCATATTGTGCGTATGAGAATAGTTGTTAACTTGTTCGTGTTTGGTCGTGTTTTTGGTGTTTTCCGCGTTTGCGGTATTTTCGATTTGTTAAGCTGGTGTGAGTTTGGTGGTGTCTAGGGTGGGTCTATGGTGGGTGAATTGTTTTTTTATTGGTTCAAGTGGCTTGTTTAATACTTTAGCTTTCTATTGGTGTGTGTATTATGTTGGTGGCATATCTTGTTGTTGAGATATTAACTTGAATGTAGGGTTTAATAGTCAGAATTTCAAATATTTTGATTTTCCCATGTTTGTGTTTTATCGGAAGGGTGTATGCGTATTGGTTAATTGTGTCTGGCTGTGGTTGTTTTATTGTTTAAGTTTGGTTTGGTTGTATTGTTTTTCTTAAGCCTCTATTGTGAGGTATTTTTGTGTTGATAGTGTGTGTGTTGAGGGAGTTATCAACTTGTTTGCGCATAACCCTTTTTTGGTTTGATCTGAGTTTTGTGGTGTTTTGGTTTGTGTATGTGGTGTTGGTTTGATGGTGTGTGTAGTACGCATGTGGTGGGCTAATTTATTTTTCGATGGTTTGGTTGTTTTACGATTTGTTTTGGCTTCGTGTTGCTGTGTGTGTTGTGTTGGTGGCATGTCTCGTTGTTAAGATATTAACTTGATTTTGGGTGCCGTCTTCCCGTTTATGGATATTCTTGTTTTCCGTGTGTTGCGGAATTGTTGTCGGTTTTATAGAAAGATGTCGCTCTTTGTTAATTCGTTTGGTTACAAGGGGCGATATTTTTTTAAGATTGGTAGTAAGGTTGCTTTCGGTGAGTTCGAAGTGTACACGCATTGTTCATGCAGTCTGTGAACAAGTGGTGAGGGGTCTCTGAATGGGGACCTGGAAGACATAATCTAGTCGCCTTAGTTTCCCTAAACTATCGCATGTCTAATATGTGACAAGAGTAGTATATGTCAGTAAATAAGGCGTAAGATACTAGTATTGTTCGTATACCCTAGAGATAATATTGTTTTTGTTTTGGGGGTAAGGTTGCCAAACTTCCCCTAACCACCGTTAGTACTCATGTGACGGGTAGTCTATATTTGGTAGATCCTAGCTATAGTGTAATGACGTTGGTGTGGTATTTTCTATCTTAATGATCATTTACGTAGGAGAGACAATCTGAACCCGGGATTTCGAACATGAGAATATGAGATGGAACTGTCTGAATGGAATACATAGGCCTGACAAATCAGATCAGAGGGGCAACCCCCCCCCCCCCCCCTGGAGTTGACTTTTTGTTGATATGAAAAATGCATTTGTATTAACAGGGTACCTACTCACTCATCAACTTCATGTTAAGGCTCCTTTTTAATATGGCACATACCTCATCAACCCCCTACGTAGGCTTTACTTTTAATAGGGTACCTACCCCCACAAAATTATAGATAAATCCATGGGCTTTCAAAAGCTTTTGAAAGCCCATGATAAATCTAATTTCAAAGTTATTCAATTCATGAAAGCGTCTGGTCTGGAACAGAAATCTCAATGACTAAGATAAACAAATCGAGTTCAATGCACGAGAGGTTTATCCTTACAGGAAATAAACAAATGGCGTGTTTTGATAACTTATTAAGAATAAACCCCGGGAATAAACAGTGTATCTGATTGCTAAAAACTTGGTAAATGAATCAGTCCATGTACGTTTTACCTAAATATAATAAACTAGATACAAACTATTTCATTAAAAGTAAATAATTAAAACATAAGACGGGATCATATCAGAATTTCACTCAGGGAAATAAGAAATGTTTTCTTTTGGCAAATTATTGGGGATTATGAAATTGTCTCTCCAAATAGCTAAATATCTGCAACTTTGTCTCATTTGCTTGTTTTCCTCTTTTATGAAACAGCATCGTGTGTTAATTTATTATAGCTCACCACACATCTCTAAAAGTTTTTTTATTTTGGCAAATCAATTTCACATTTATGGGTGAAGTTTCGAGATCTTCCATTTGTGTACGAGAGGAAAACTTAACATCCAAATTCCCAGTAAATACCCCCATAACGTATTAGTATACAGCTTGGCATATGAAATATTCTCCAAATGAAACAAAGCAGTTCTAAGAAGGACTTACATGTATGTTGGCCGTTGTACATGTATTCTTTGAACAACCACTCTCTCAATAATGTTTTCAGAATCATTATAACGGATTACTTTATCTCCAAGACAATTTCAACAAACTGGAATTTACAAAACTTCCCTTATTTCTTAAAAATGGACTGGTCCAGTTGACTCACCTGGAGCCGCTATATTGTTAGCTCACATGGTGAGCTATTGCAATCATTCGCTTGTCCGTTCGTCCGTCTGTCTGTCCGTCTGTCCGTGGACAACATTTCCGGTTTAGTTTTGGGAGTGATGACTTAGACCCTGTCTTGAGACATCACCCGTTGTGAACACGCATTAAGTCATGCAATCTGTGTCAAATGGTGAGCGGTCTCATTTAGGGGACCTGGGAGACATACCTGTAGTCTAGTGTCTAAGCTTCCCCGAACCACCGTCAATGATTATGTGACAGGTAGAGTATATTAAGTTGAGCCTAGGATGGTGACATTGGTAGTGTCACTCCTATTGCCATTTTTTGTAGAGAAAGGCCGGACATACCGATCTTTTTTTTCTTTTTTTATTGGATCTTACACATACATCACACATGATATACACACATGTTCACATAATTCTTTTACATTTTACAAATAGGTACTGTTTTAACAGCTCATCACCATGTATGAGGATTTCCTAACAATATGGTTTACAAATGTTTACAGCATAATGTACAATGGTCTTCAAAAACATATAGATTACCACAGTTTTATAATATATAACTCCATACCTTAAATATAATAC